ATTCACCACCTTCATCTGCATGGCTTGAGGTACATCCTGCCAGTGTGGAAGCAGCTGTAAGATCTGGGAGTCGGTCACTTCTGGATTCACTCGTCACACACGCCTCTCTGCAAATCAACATGTCGACTGCAAGAGAGGCAGTGGTTCAAAAATCTAGACCCAGACAACTGCAATTTGTTGGTTTACATGTTCTTTCACCCAGGTGTGCCCTGGTTGTAGGGTGGTGATACGTATCAAAGTACAAAGTCGCTCACATTTTCCCCTCAAGTGATCAGCCAGCTCTGGATAGCCAGCAGCCAGCCCAGCAGCTTCAGCCGAGTCCTGGCATTGCTGCCTCCCTCTCACAAGGGAGAGGGAGGTAGAGAGAGGGAGAGGGAAAGAGAGAGAGAGAGAGAGAGATAGAGAGAGAGAGAGAGCGGGGGGGATAGCAAGGCAAACAGCAGCGATGTTACAGTAAGTCTTCCGCTGCAAAAAGCACAAGAAGAAGGATAAGTGGTTTTCTGGATACAGCAGAGCTCATTCAATGCACAGTTTTCCCACACGCTGCAACCAAACCTCTTGAGGCAATGATTCAACAGCTCAAGCCATCTCCGCTGTCAGAAATCCTCGCTCTTGTGAACTGCCAGCTGATTGCAAACGAATAGAATAGACTGATATCCTATACTGTACTCAAACGAATAGACTGATATCCTATACCCTATAAAGTAAGGTTACAAGGTTGTAATGGATCGAATGCATTGATCACGTGCCTTCACTTTTGCATGTGTAATTATATAATAATTGAAATATATATATATAGTTATATGATGTTATGTGACAAAATCGCATGTTACTTGCTCCCCCTTCCAGGCAAAATGAATTAAAGAAATTAGAGACATCTGTGCCTGTGTGTACGATTTCTTGCACCACGAGCAGTACTATCCACTGTTCCTCTTGGAGGAGCTGCGTAGGAATAGTTATATATATTCTATCGACCTGCTCAACAAATGGTTGCAATGTGTTGACTCCTACTTGGCTATCTAATAATCTAATAATCTAAGGAATCTCTGCTGAAGGAGGAAACAGGCAACCTGAGAAATGTTTCCACAGGTCCCGCAGGAAAATGATGGCAATTTGTTGCCACACAATGTGGAGACCTACAAGTAAGCTTGGCAGATGTGGCTGCCGCTACAAAGCTCAATTTCAATTTAAGTTCAGCGTTGACTTGGCAATGAGTTGGGAGCTCTTCTCAGCGAGGACTCAATAGACATCCTCGTCCTCCTGCATCACCTGCAAAACCAACTGACAGTATTGCACAGTTTTCCACATCCAGTGGGGTATTACGTCATGCTTTGGGCCAAGGCTTGCATGATTGCTGCAGCTGCCATAACTTGTCTTTGCTGGGTCGACATGACAACATCTAAATACAAACAAATCAGCAGCAAATGGCAAAGACAACCGTTCACAGCTTGGCTGTCAAATTCTACTGCGTTTCTGTAACCCCAACCTCGGCATGGCTGCTGCAAGAGGTCTTGGCCTCATCACCTGGCACAAAACACAACTGCACAGTACCGAGATAAAATGACTTGGCAGGTGCACACAGTAGCTGCTTGTTTCCAAGACCCGATCTGAGATTACGTATTTTTACATATATATATATATATGTTTGCGGCTTCATTGAACGTGCAAAAAGCTGCTGTCACGCTGT